CCCCTTCTTTTTTCTTCCGGCCGCCACCACAGCCCGCCACCGGAGCCGGGATCAAATCGAAATTGACCGCCGCCTCTCCCCCTTCCCTTCCCAACCAGTCTCCACCTCTGGGACTGCCGGAATCCGCCGGAAAAAATGAAACCTGGCCGGTTTTTGTTCAAAACTTCCAACCGTTCGTTCTCCCTCCTTCGGCCACCGTTTCCGATGAGTGAGGTATGGATTCTCATCTATTTTTCGAGCTCTAGCTGATGGTTGGGTAGGATTTGATCGATTTCTAGTCTAGGTAACTCGATTTTCAACCCTAAGTTTGGCCGGTTTTCAAATTGAATTTCCGGCCACTTGACGTCCGAATTGGACGTTGCCGTAGTTGAATAAAGTGTTCCACTCGTCAAGTAGCAGCTATAGCCGGAAGGGTGGACCTCGATTTTGAGTGGATCGTTGAAAAAAATCATAAGGAATCCTAAAGGTGTTCTTCAAATAAAATTATTTGAGAGATTACTCAATAAAAAAGGAATATATATATATATATATATTAAAATAAACTTTTAATCTCATCATCATCGGTATATATGGTTCAGAGTCTAAAGACATGTGTTTCTTTCTTATCCTCTTTATAATTTTTTATTTATTTATTTTTGTGTGTGGTGATAATCAATCTTGTTTTTCATGCAATGAAAAGTTTGACTGCAATTTTTAGGATCCAATTTATTCAATTGCGATTTTAATAGAGTTTAATCACAGGATTTTAATGTAATGGATTTCAGCAGGATTTGGTAATTACAAGATTTTACTTATGATTTTAATAGATTGTGATTCATGATTTTCTTATGATTCACTTAGGACTTTTTAGTATTCTCCAAAGAATCAAAAGGTTTGCTATAGGATTTCATATGAAATAAAAATTATATAATAATATGGATAAATTATGCCATTGATAAATAACCAAATGATAAAAGTAATAACAATAACGTCATGTAGCAACTAGACATGGCTTAAGGAAAACAAAAGTTATTCAAGACGTAATAAACATTTGTTGGAGCTTCATCTCCTCATATGACCTAGATAGCATCTCTCCACATAGCTGAAGCTATGCTAGCTCTCCATGTGTTAGCATCCTCTCTTTGTTGCTCTTGGGTTTGATAAATCTGTTCCAAATTGTCCTCTTCGTCAACTGGTATTGGTGAGGATGAATATGATGAAGATGCATCAGTTGGCTCAATAGGAAATTCATCGGAACGACACTCCTTACGAAGAAAGTTATGTAATGCTGCACATGCCAACACTAGCTCTGCTTGTGTTTTAAATAAAAATAGAGGATCTGACTTAAAAATTGTGAATCGCGATTTAAAAATACCAAATATCCTCTCGATCACATTCCTTAAGGACGCATGGCGAAGGTTGAACAACTCATTTTCATTTTCAGGGTCACGACCATGACCTGCAAAATCTTGGAGATGATATCGCACACCTCGAAACGGAGCTAAAAATTGGCGTCGGTTGGCGAATCCACAATCCACTAAGAAATATTTACCTAATTATATAGTACATATATATACATATTAGTATGCAACAAAGAAATAAAAACGTATTTCCACCAAAAAGATAAGTATTTACCTTGAGGAACTTTAAGACCATTCCTCCTTGATAGAGCATCACTTAACACTTTTGAATCATGAGCCGAACCCTCCCATCCGCTAAGGACATACATGAATTCCAAATCAAAATTGCAAGCTGCTACTACATTTTGGGATATATTTCCATGTCGATTACGATAGTTGCTGACATTGCGTCCCCTCACTATTGCTGGAATATGTGTGCCATCAATAGCTCCAATGCAATCCTACAATAATTCAAAAATGTAATGGTATTATAATAATAATAATAATATGGTAGTTGTCACTTACCTTGAAATAAGGATAAAACCTTGTACTTTCTCTAATTTTAGCTGGCACTCCCGATCCTGGTTTAGCCATCAACTCAGATGCTATTGTATTCAAAGCCCTCAAAACTTTATGAAAATTTTCACTTGTGGCAAATTGTGATCGCCCAAATGTTTTACGAATGACACAATATCGAGAATTTTGACCGACAATTTGTAAAAATGCTGCTAGCATTTCTTCAACACAAATATATCTTGTGTCCTTTAAGAGTGTTTTTTCTCGAAGGATAGTGCATAACTTTTGGAACACATCAGGATACATCCTATATACCTGTCGGAAAATTGCGGGATCATCATTCAATGCTTGATGTATATAATCATATCCAACGGTAGTAATTCGTCGTCGAGTTAGCGGACGCTCAATATGTCCTTCATCCCCCTCAAACTGATGTAGCACATGTATTAACGTTTCAGTTGCCATAAGTAAAATCTTAATGCCTTCATCAAATTCTTCATCCAAATCTTCATCTATTTCTTGTTCACCAATTTCTTCATTATCGATTTCTTCTTCTTCTCTGTCATGATCTTCATATATGTTTGGGTATGACATTGTATGTAGATATCAAAATATATGCTGCTGAAAAAAAAAATCAAAATTAACCGACAAATTAGGAATTGCAGAAAGTGACATTGTTTGTTGAATGCAAATACATGAGACTACAAAGGAAAAAAAAAAGATGAAAAAATAATTCTTTATCATGTAATTCACATGCTGATAAAATAAAATAAAAAAGAATTCACATACATATTAATTAGAACAATGAAAAGTTTAGCTGATCATATTACTTTATCGTTTCCAGTGATTTTCATACATATTCTTAGTTGGTCACCCCTTTTTGTTCATGGTGTGAAAAAATATAGCATATTCATGGAAATTAAAAAAACAACATAGTTAAACTAAAATGACATAACCAAATACATAGTTCAACCAAAATGACATAACCAAATACATAGTTCAACCAAATTAAACCAAATACATAGTTCAACCAAATACATAGTTCAACCAAAATACCAAAAATCAAATTCATAGTTCAACAATTCAAAGGAAACAATTCTCAACCAAAAACCAAGGTGATCCAAATAACAATTCATCCCAATTTGAAGGATATCCAAGATGAGCGCTCTTCGGGTGACATCTTCAAGAACATGTCTTGTTTTACTTTAGTATTAAGCAATTCAACCGCCTTGTATCGAACATTGTCATCCAAGTTTGGTACATCCTTCATAGCATCCCAAATACCATTCTCTCTATCTCTCTCTCTATCTCTCTCTCTTTTCTCCATTAGAGCATAGATTTTCTCAAAATTGGTGGATATGGTTTCAAGAACTTTCTCTTTGGCTTGATTGGTGGAATCAATTGAGTTAGAACTCCCTTCATACTCGGATCTACTTCGCTTCTTTTGACTTGTTTTTCCTTGAGGAACCTCAAAACCTAAAGGGGACTCAATGGGTGGTGTAGATTGGTAGGGTGATGAAGGTTGGAAGGATGGTTGATAGTGACTTGGTGCTACAAATGTCTCATTGGCAGCATCATATGTAAAGTCTTCCATCCCAAAATTTAGGTTTTCCTCATCCCTAAAAGTTGTTGCATCGGTATCATCGACACCTAAGGCAAGTGAGCCATTCCCAGTAGCAGTTGCACCCCCAACCACAATTTTTAAATCATCATAATTAGCAACACTTTCTGTCTGAAGGTTCTTGTGACTTGGGTGGGACTAGCAAAGAAAAAAAAATTGATGATTGTTAATATATTATAAATAAAATATTAGAGTAAGCTAGTAAGTGACATAGCATATAATATGAGGCTCACCTTCAACACTAGCCGTAAACTTCTTTGTGATTGGGTCCCACCCAAATCCAGAGTTGTTACGCATAAGAGTAGTCATTTTGTCAAACTGCTTCTTATACCTGTTAGATTTCTTTAGTAAATAATCTAGATCTTTCACACAAACACGTAATACGTATAAAGACATGGAAGACATACCTGGAGCCATCTTCCCTGAGTACACAGCTTTTGAACTCATCCTATCCGTTGCGCAGCAATCCTAGCAATTTATCAGGGACGGCTCAAGAACTTCTGCTCTCTCTCAGAATCTGTTTCAGCTCTCTCTTTATGATGAGAATAGGTTTTGAGAACGTGTCTGATGAGAGCAGGGCCTTAAGCTTATATAGGGCTAGGTCAAGTCGTCTCTACTCATCACCGAGGGCCGACTTGACTAATCTTCCAAGCCCACTTAATCGGTTCATGCAAAAAGGAAACAAAAATAGGACTCCTTAATAGGCCCTAAAACCTTTCCTTATTTCACAAGGTTTTGGGCCTCAAGGTACAACTTAATTTAAACCCTTATCAAACCTGATGTGACTTAGTATCTAGTGCACCGATCTAATTAGGAAACAAGCCGACCACCTATTTAACCTACGCCAAAAGCTGATGAGTCCCTCTAAGATTACATCAAAAAGTTCAAGGCAGAGAAAGCCAACATTGTGGGATGTGATGATCGAATTGCATCCTTTGCTTTCAATAAGGGCTTACCAACTGAGCACGACATGTATCGTGAACTGATTATCGCTCCCAGCCAGAGTCTGGCAGAGGTCTTCGTGACCGTAGAATCATATGCGTTTTAGGATGACGATCAAATCATTGTGAAGAATTTGCTTAACAAGTTGAACAACCACTCAAGGAGCCTGGTAGTAGGAACCATAGAGGAAAGGGCAAAGCACCATCCCAAGGTGGCGCACCGGCAGATGAAGGTTATACAAAGTTCAATATCCCGATACATCAAATCTTGGCCCAAGTGAAAGAAAAGCCCTAGATGAGGAGACCACCACCTTTGAAGTGAGATCCTAACAAGAGGAATATCAACAAGTATTGCGCCTTCCATGGAACACATGAGCATGACACAACCAACTGCCAATCTTGGAAGATGCACCTCGAAGACCTCGTAAGAGAAGGCCATTGCACGTAATTTATGTTAAAGAAGGTCATCCAGCAGATCAAGGATCGCGATGCAGCTAAGGAGCCTTTACAAAAGGTCATAAGGATTAACAAAATCCAATCCGACTTCGAGGAATCCGGGCTGACCAGCAAAGAAAGAAAGAGGAAGATTTGGTAGGCGATTGTAAGCTCCTAAGTCTTAACCAGCGGCCCAGCAATTGAAGACGAACTTGTGATCGGCTTTAAGAAGAAAGACTTGATTGGGCTTGATCAGCTGCACAATGACGCCCTCATCATAAGCATCCACGCATGTATATAAAAAGTTCTACCCAAGTTCCAACCCAACAAAATTTAATTGAAAGATGATTCGTAAAGCCCAGTTTCGATCGGTCACTTATCTTCATCATCAATGATAGGATTTTTAGTACCTGCACAAAGAGAGTTAAAATCACTGAAAATACTTGCAAGAATACAAGGGAATTGTAGTATAAATGCTCAAGCAAGGTCGTTGTCCCCAAAGATTGTTTTATTAATTTGTAATTAAACTAACTCTTAATTAATGATTAAAATAGATTTTATCAAAGATCTGAAATTTATGAATTTGAAAAGATTAAATTAACAATAAAAGAAATCTAAAAGTTGGGAAATAATAACAACAAAGAAGGAAAACCATTTTTAAAAATAACAATTTAGAGAAAACTAGGGTTCAGCCAACACCGTCACAATCCTATGCAATTCTATCAATTACTTATGAATTTCCACATATATGCTTTGAAGGTTAGGTTTTCCTAATGCATATTTTCCTTGTGATGTTCAAGCGAAAACGTATATCTAACATGCAATCCGTCTGTGATGTTCATATCAAATATAAACATGCAAAACTCATTAAGCTTTGTGAAAATCCTTTGAAAAACCATGCAACCCTTAAGAGCGTGATGTTCGCCTTAAGTGAACTTACAACTACTATCCTAATGGTGATCAGTCATTAAAATAGATAGATAGTTTTAAACGCAGTGATTAATAACTCAAAGCAAACATGCATCCATTCATAAGCAAATTAGTAAAATTACATATTCATGCTAAGGCTTATGGCCTCGCCCTAGCAATTGAATTAGTTACACATATTCATAACTAAAATTAAAGAAAATATCATTCGAATGAATAAGAGTGAAAACACCTTGAAGTAGAAGTTCTTCAAAAATGTAAGATCCCATATCGACCAACGGAGAGGGGGTGATGTGCCATATATGTACATGCCTGCATCCATCTAGCACGAGGCCTTTTGGGAGCTCACTGGCTTCGGAGTCGTGAGAACTCGGAAGTTAAGGGAGTTGGGGGCTAGAGCAATCCCAGGATGGGTGACCCACTGGGAAGTTGATCGTGAGCTCCCAGAAACAAAACCGTGAGGGCCAGAGAATGTTGCACTACTAAGCACTGACAATTTGGTATCAGAGCCACTCTGCCATGTGGTGCGAGTGTGCTGACGAGGACGTCGGGCCCCTAAGGGGGGTGGATTGTGAGATCCCACATCGACCAACGGAGAGGGGGGTGATGTGCCTTATATGTGCACACCCGCATCCATCTAGCACGATACCTTTTGGGAGCTCACTGGCTTCGAAGTCATGGGAACTCCAAAGTTAAGCGAGTTGGGGGCCAGAGCAATCCCATGATGGGTGACCTATTGGGAAGTTGGTAGTGAGCTCCCAAAAACAAAACCGTAAAGGCCAGAGAGGGGGGGCCCAAAGCGGACAATATCGTGCTACGGCGGAGCGGGTCCCGGGATGTGACAATTTGGTATCAGAGCCACTCTGCCGTGTGGTGCGAGTGTGCCGATGAGGACGTCGGGCCCCTAAGAGGGGTGGATTGTAAGATCCCATATCGACCAACGGAGAGGAGGTGATGTGTCATATATGTACATGCCCGCATCCATCTAGCACGAGGCCTTTTGGGAGCTCACTGGCTTCAGAGTCGTGAGAACTCCGAAGTTAAGCGAGTTGGGGGCTAGAGCAATCCCAAGATGGGTGACCCACTGGGAAGTTGATCGTGAGCTCCCAGAAACAAAACCGTGAGGGCCAGAGAGGGGGTGCTCAAAGCGGACAATATCATGCTACGGCGGAGCCGATCTGGGATGTGACAAAAAACCCTAGCAAAAGTCGCGTTCCAAAGCCAAAAGAGAAGTCCCTAAAAATTCTGCGAAATAGAGCTTAAATACTCCTACAAAGAAGCTTCCCACAACCAGCTTTTCTATCCCCACAAGGAAACTAAATAAAATAAAATAATGACATGACATAAAATCCAAATTGGACTAGGAGAATCTGTCCATAATCTGCCCAGCCAAGTTTTGGGCTTAAATCTCCTCCAAATCCGGCCAAACATAGCTTGTTTTAAAGATAAAAACATTTGGAACATATCTTCAGAAGGCCACGAACCCATCTGAGGTCATCTTGGGCTCCAAAAACACAATAAAGGCCCAAAACGTCACTATTCCTGAACAGCGCACTGCTCCTTTATTTTATTGCCAGAAAATAACCGCTTGGTAGAAACATCTGAAATTTTGATACGATCAAGCTAAGTGACTCACGAATGTCCTCCAACTAGAATTACTCCAAAATTCGTCCATTTGATTACGTTTTGCTCCAGATGAAATCGAAAGCCCTATATTGGAAATATAATTCAAAGTATCAAAATTCTTCCAAAATATTAACCAAAATATACTAAGAATGGGGCTAAATTTATAATATAAAATATGCCCATCAATCAACTATATAAGTTACGTCCACAACTGGATTAGTAGACACCTTTCAAAGTTGCGCGGAAGTTAGCAGGAAATAACAAGCTCTCATTCAGTTGACTTTCACAATTAGGTTGAAGGTCCACTTTTTTCGAATTTTTTCGGAAGAATGAAAATCCAAAAAAACTGCAATGTAGTTGCTGATTACACACAAGGGCAGATCCACGTATAGGCTAGCATGTGCTCTAGCATAGTGCTGACTTTTGAGATTAGGCTTATTGTGTAGGCTCAATCTAGACCAATCAAAGAAATCAGCCGGCTGCAAGAAGAAAGAACAGAGAAATAGAGCAGATGGAGAGAGAAGAAAGAAAAGAAGAAGAGAGGAAGAAGGAAAAAGAATAAAGAAAGAGAGAGAGAGAGAGAGAGAGAGAGAGAGAGAGAGAGAGAGAGGAGGAAATAGAATAACAAAGAAAGGGGGAGATATGTGTTGGGATGGGATGTGTTTTTATTTTGTCAGGTGCACTGCCCAACAAAATGTGATGTTTTTATTTTATTTTTACTTCAATTCCTTCTAATTATTTGTTCTTTGTTTCTTTCTTTGTTTCCCTTCAATCCCTTCCAAATATTTCAACAATATTACCAATAATTCCAACATTGTTTCTGTTTCAAATGTTGTATAATAACAAAAAAATTCTAAATATGATGAAGAAAATATACTGAAAAAAGTGTGCTTATAAAAAAAAAAAATTGTAACAAACAAGGGCTTAGCCTACCCCTACGTATATTTCTGGGTCCGCCATTGATTACACATCAACTAGTCTAGAAGGGTAAAGCATAGAACCTTGTGTGTGAGAGACGGAAATCAAACATAGAACCTCATATGCAAGGGTAAATGATCTTAACCACTTAAGCTACAAGCCCAACAAACTTTAATTAAAAGATTGGTAAAATCTTGTTTCGGTTGGTAAGTCGCCATCATCATCAACACAGAAGTCGGCAGGAAATAACAAGCTCTCATTCACGTTGACTTTCACAATCAGGTTGCAGGTAGCAGGAAACTGCTTAGCAAATAATACAATGCAAGTGGCATATACTACGTGACGCCTATATAGCAAGAGAATTCAAGTCGTTGACATATCATTATGAAACAAAATGGATTCAGTGACCATTCAATTAGGAGCCTCTTCTTCCTCCTCCTCTTTCAACCATTCATGTACATATGATGTCTTTCTCTGTTATAGAGGCGCGGATACCCACAACAATTTTACAGACCACTTGTACAGCAATTTGCTTCAAAGGGGAATTAAAACCTTCCTAGCTGATGTGCTTCTTAGAAGAGGAGAAGAACTAACATTACCAATGCTTTATAAAATCATTGAAGACTCAAGGATTTCTATCATCGTATTCTCTGAAAATTTTGCATCCTCAGGCTGGTGCTTGGATGAACTGGTTGAGATCCTTCAATGTCGAGAATCAAACCAGCAAATAGTTTGGCCAGTTTATTACAAGGTGGATCCCATGGATGTGCGCAACCAACAAGGTACTTTTGGTGAGGCACTTGCTAACCATGAAAACAAATTCAGAGATGACATGGAGAAGGTGCTGAGATGGAGGGCAGCTCTTACAGATGCAACAAATTTGCCTGGGTGGTATTTCTTGGACGGGTATATTTTTGTGAACCACTTACTAGCGTTTTGAATTTTTTTTTTTTTTTTCTAATTTCTTTAATTTTATAAAATTGATTCCTTTTAGTACAGGATTCAAAACTCATACTAATCTCTCAAAAGGACATATATATAGTACTATCATCTAACAAAACTCTATCATCGTCAACGAAAATGTATAGCCTAGCTAACAATTATATCCCTTTTAAGTTAAAACAATAGCCTCTCATGATCACTTTTAATATTGAAAGAAATTTAAAATTTAATTCCATTCATTAATATTTATCTTCTCTCTAACAGTCCTCACTTTGGTCTTTTTGCAATAATTTTCGTTAACAATTTCTATTGCATTTCACCTCCTTGCACCTCTTTATGTCCGTCACTAATCCACGCTACATGTCATACTTGTGGGCACCAACACAAATACTAGTATCACAATAAAAATTAAATAAAGAATTTAGTCACTAAATAATGGGATATGACATGAAAATATTTTACTTATTTTGGTGTGCTAACATTATTCTTTTTCCTAAGGAAACAAGTTATATGAATAGCTTGTTTGGTAGCATCACTTCCCCTTAAGAATTTTTTTGGTGAGTTTATATTATTTGAAATTGCAGGCACAATTCTAAATTTATTGATAACATTGTTGAAGAGATTTCGGCACAAGTATTAAACCGCACCTATTTAAATGTGGCAAAGCATCCTGTTGGAATAGAGTCTCGTGTAAAGGATATGAATGAACTTTTAGGAGTTGGAGTAAATGATGTTCGCATGGTAGGTATATGGGGGATTCATGGAATAGGTAAGACAACAATTGCTAAAGCTGTTTATAATTCGATTGCCCATGAGTTTGAAGGTAGCTGTTTTTTGGAAAATGTTAGAAAAAATTCAATGGAACGTGGAGGCCTAGTCCAACTACAAAAGATTGTTCTTTCTGAGATTCTAGGGGAAGAGCAATTGGAGTTTACCGATGTTGATGAAGGAATAAATGTGATAAAGAAAAGGTTGAGCCGAAAAAGGGTCCTCTTAATTCTTGATTGCGTTAATCAAATGGAACAATTAAAAAAATTAGTCGGAGGTTCAGATTGGTATGGTTTGGGCAGTAGAATCATCATAACATCGAGAGAGAAACATGTGTTAACCGCTCATCAAGTTAACCTAACATACAAGGTGGAGGAATTAGAATTTGATGAAGCTTTTGAGCTCTTCAGTTGGAATGCCTTCCCAATAAATAAACTTCCAGATGATTATGCTAAAGTGGCTGCTGCAATAGTACACTATGCTCAAGGGATTCCGTTAGCTCTCGGACTTATAGGTTCACATCTATGTGGTAGAAGCATAGATCAATGGAGAATTGCATTAGATGGTTACAGAAGCGTTCCTAACTTAGAGATTCAAGACATTCTCAAAATAAGTTACGATGCACTAGAAGATTCAGTGAAAGAAGTTTTCCTTGACATTGCATGTTTCTTAAACGGTAGAAATAAGAAGTATGTGATAAAAATGCTGGAAAGTTGTCACCTCAACCCTGAGTATGGTATTGAAGTACTGATAGAAAAGGCCTTCATAATTATTAAAAAAGATCATATTTGGATGAATGACCTGATAGAAAAACTGGGTAAAGAAATAGTAGTTCGCCAAGATTCTTTAACCGGGCGTGAAAGACTTTCACGTAGCAGATTGTGGTTTTACAAGAACGTTAACCATGTTCTATTGGAAAATAAAGTAAGTTTAAAGAAAAATACTTGTAGAAATATTATTTGAAACACTTTCACTTTTATTTGTTAATATAATTCTTTTTTTCGCACCAGGGAATAAATAAAACTATAGGCATCGTGGTAAAGTCGCATGTACCAGATGAGAAATACTTGAGCGCTAAAAGCTTCTTAAAGGTGAAATATCTTAAACTTTTTATAAACTGCTCGTTTTTTATTTTTTATTTTAATTCAATTGCTGTCTGGTCTGAATATCATTGTCATCCAATTTTAATTCAAAGAAACTTGTTAAGCTGGATGTGGACAGCAATTGAATTAAAATTCTAATTGAACGTATTACTGACTTATTTGTACGTAGGCTACTTCAGCAAAGCGGATCTTTTTACTCATTGCCCTCTGCCTAGAGATTTTGTCACTTGCTTTTGATCAGGCTTCCTCTCCAAGCAATCCCCACTACGCATTATTTGGTATGATATTGGCCATTGTTGCTGTACTGATTTGCATCTTGGACCTCATTAACAAGGGTAAAAAGGAAAGAGTTGAACTGAGGAGGTGGAGGACGTTGTGGTGGTTTTATTATCCACGTCCCCAGCGAAAGCTATATGGTAGTCTTCCTGACATTTATGGATTAGTAGGTGCCATCTCTCAGTGCATTTGCTCGACAGTTCAGTATGTGTGCTTCATCCGGCATGATCAAAATCCTATGAAAGTCTCCCTTTGGCCTGCCATCTTTCTTATATGTTTGGGTGCTTCAAGATTGAATTGGATTGGAATGGACGAGACCGATGAACAAAATGTGTGAACATGGGTATTTAGGTTATGTCTCAACTTCCTGTTTGTGAGTTTCATTGGTTAGTTTTAGTAATTGTAATGATTTTAGTCAAACAATATGGATAGAATATTTTCAGATATATTTCATTCTCCGAAAGGAGGTATTTATAATACAGGTTACAAACCCTAGTAGGGTTTAATTAGGAAATAAGTGGAATCCTAATTACATAATATCTATACAAAAGGAAAAATAAATAAAACCCAAATAGAATAGGATATATTCTACTCGCCAACACTCCCCCTCAAGTTGGAGCAAAGACGTCATGCATGCCCAACTTGTCAAGAGAGTTGAGAAAGATACTTGTAGAAACAGCTTTCGTAAGAACATCAGCTAACTGATACTCTGAACGGATGAAGGGGAAGGACACAATCTCCGCATCCAACTTTTCTTTAATGAAATTTCGATCAACCTCCACATGTTTTGTACGGTCATGTTGTACAGGATTATGAGCAATTGCAATCGCAGCCGTATTGTCACAATATAAATCCATGGGTTTATTAGGCCCAAAACCAAGGTCTTTCAACAATCTCCTCAACCATAGTAACTCAGATACACCATGGGCCATTCCCCGATACTCGGCCTCAGCACTAGATCTAGACACCACCTTTTGTTT